GGAAGCAAGAAAGTGGTTCAGATACATTGTGGCAGTTGTTGCAGTCTTCCTCCTGAACTTGACTTACAAAAACTATGTCTACACCTGAATTGTGATGTTGAGTTTTGGTTTCTGTTGTGACAGCAGTATCTTTGGTGTTTCAGTTACCATGCACAGGAGGGATTCCTACAGTTGTTTATTACAATAGTTCCTGTATATGTTGAGAAGCATCCACTACTGTTGCAGTAAATTGTAAAGTGACCACAGGAGCGCCATAGGTATATGTGGATGTATCGATACATTCATTTATGACTACTTGAACGTGGAAAAAGGCTGCAACATACAGACTGCCAGAAAAATGTGTACAGTCAAGAGACTGATAACACACAATACAAGCCAGCCTGAAAACGGACTTATTCTGTTATTTAGCCGACTTTAAGAGGGGATACAGTATCTTTTCACAGTCATATGAAGTGTGTGTGTAGATGGACAAAGTCATGAATCAAAGGTTTCGGTTTTTCCTGACAATGTCCTTTGTGAGCTCTATTTGTGGCACAGATGAAAATTTCTCTGGGAATTGTACTTGTGCTGTGTAAATGCAAAATGAGGACGTTTTATATGATTGAATGATTGACAATGGATTCTCTGTACATGAGAATTGTCAGTTATTTTATATGCAAAGTTTTGAGTTCCAAAATCAGTGTTGTGCTGTAAAACATCTTGTAAATTCACTGCAATCACAGATAACAGCTTCAATAAACTGCGTGTAAAACGTATTAACTTCTAAATAGTCACAGCTACACATCTTCAATCAAAAGAAAACTTAAGGCATCAATATTTTCTCACCTTTTGTTAGCAATCTGGTTCCCCTCGTTGGCCTTTGGGGGACGGAGTAGTTGGCAAGGACCTGAGAAGTCAGTGGACTTTGATGCTTTACTGCTGATTATTACAGTTGGCGCATTACTTGCAGCTCGATCATCATCATCATTATCCAGAACTTCAAAGGTCATGTTGGGATCCATGGCACTGGAAGAGCTCAGAGGCAGGGACAGTACATTTTTTTGAGCAGGTTCTGGAGTGCACTGGAGTGGGAACATGCCCTCCTCAAACACTTGGGCCCTAGCAACGGTCCGAGGGCTTTGTGGTGGCAGTGACGCAGACAAATTTCTCCTGATGGGCATTCTGGGACGTGGTTCTGGTTTCATATCTGTCTGATTTTCTCTACCTGTAAACAAACAAACAAACGAGCACCAATAAAATCATAGACAGCCCATAAAGAATGAACCGAGACTTAAAACCAATTCTGGTGCCATGAACACAATGATGGAGTCAAACTTAGTGTACACCAGGTGCCCATTTCACATTAGAGATTTTTGTCTTTGTTTATTTCTGTACTGTTCTCACTTGTTTCAAGCGGGTGGACTCTGGTGGAAAAGGTGTTGTCGTATACTTATATGCATCAGGGTTTAGCAGTACTTGGATCAAAATCTGATTCAAGTTGTGACTGACACTGTCCTCAAAATAATGTGTATCCAGTGTTTAGGGGGTCAAAATATTTAGAGCTGTACTAAGCTAAGGATTATGTCAGTCGACTCTTGCAACTGTTTGTTCTTTCTGTGTGTGTGTGTAAAATCAACCGGAATTAATTTTTATGATTTTAACCATAACTGGCAGTTAAAAGCAAAAGAACAATATATTTCTGAGCATTTAAAAATAAACAGAAAACAGCTGCACGATGCAAGGTTTAAACTGTGACCTATTTAAATTTACGATATATACAATCAAAAAAAAAGGATTTGACGGAATAAACACAGGCAGCACACACACACACACACACACACACACACACACACACACACACACACAATGCTCTTATAGGCACTTTTTTTCCTTTTGAAATATGGTTATAGCCTGGTTTACCAACAAGTTTAAGATTCTCCTGTCAGTTAATCACAGCGCATGTTGTGACTGTGTTTGATGTGTGCCAGCTTGCACTGCGAATAATTCCTCTTATATATAACTCTTAATAGCTTCTTAATACTGTTTGGATGGATGCATGTCGGTAAATGGCTATGCGTTGCACTTTAGGGGAGATGGGTAAACAAACCGGATTCTGATAACATTATGCAAAACCTGCCATATCTGCGTGACGGTTAGCCTTTTCTCTTACAAGTAGACCTGGATGTTTGAAAACATTTCAAATAAAGTACAAATCTCACCTTAATGTGGCTTGTGCTTTTCTCCTTTTTCTGCACTTTGCTAAATAAACCTGACCTTAAGATTTATCCATGCATCAGACTGCATCATTGTTGAAGTGGGTATATGGAATTATATCAAAACTTTACAGATGCCGGTGTCTGAAGCAAGTCAAATTTGAAATATATTTATCAGTGCATTGTTTATAAGTAAGAGCCTTGAAAGTGAAAGCAAATCAAACCACTTTAAAGTAAGCAGGGCAACAGTAATCACATTGCTCCCCAAATGATGCTGTCCCTTGTACTCAATCACTAATCAGTAATAAGCACTGAAGTGCCAGCCTTAGGCTAAACAGTGCAATTTAAAAAATGTCACAACAGAGATGGATTGTTCTCTTAAGTTCCATCAAAGTGTGATCAACAGTGTTGGAGATATTATGCATAGCACAAGGCAATTAAACATTATAGTGCTTTCTCTGCTCATATAAATATAAACTTTACAATGTCAGAATGCAGCTGTGACCCACTAAAAAGCACAGAATTTTATTTTGAAATGACAGGCATAACAGTGGCTAAACATTTGATTATTTTGTGAGGACAAGGGGCAGTGACTGGCAAAACCTGTGTGCATCTTTCAATTAAATGATTTTTTTTGGTGCTGAAATAGTGAGAATTTGATAAAATAGCAAGCCCCTATATATACATATTTACAGTGGTGTGAAAAAGTGTTTGCCCCCTTACTGATTTCTTATCTTTTTGCATGTTTGTCACACTGTAATGTTTCAGATCGTCAAACAAATTTATATATTAGTCAAAGATAACACAAGTAAACACATCATGCAGTTTTTAAATGAAGGTTTTTATTATTAAGGGAAAACAAAATCCAAAACTATATAGCCCTGTGTGAACAAGTGTTTGCCCCCCTGTCAAAACACTGGTTTATCGCACCTGAGTTCAATTTCTATAGCCACACCCAGGCCTGATTACTGCCACACCTGTTCGCAATCAAGAAATCACTTAAATAGGACCTGCCTGACAAAGTGAAGTAGACCAAAAGATCATCAAAAGCTAGACATCATGCCGAGATCCAAAGAAATTCAAAAACAAATGAGAAAGAGAATAATGAAGCTCTATCAGTCCGGAAAAGGTTATAAAGCCATTTCTAAAGCTTGGGGACTGCAGCGAACCACAGTGAGAGCCATTATCCACAAATGGCGAAAACATGGAACAGTGGAGAACCTTCCCAGGAGTGGCCGGCCGACCAAAATTACCCCAAGAGCGCAGCGACAACTCATCCAAGAGGTCACAAAAGACCCCACAACAACATCCAAAGAACTGCAGGCCTCACTTGCCTCAGTTAAGGTGAGTGTTCATGACTCCACCATAAGAAAGAGACTGGGCAAAAATGGTTTGCATGGCAGAGTTCCAAGACGAAAACCACTGCTGAGCAAAAAGAACATAAAGGCTCGTCTCAGTTTTGCCAGAAAACATCTTGATGATCCCCAAGACTTTTGGGATAATACTCTGTGGACAGACGAGACAAAAGTTGAACTTTTTGGAAGGTGTGTGTCCCATTATGTGTGGCGTAAAAGTAACACCGCATTTCAGAAAAAGAACATCATACCAACAGTAAAATATGGTGGTGGTAGTGTGATGGTCTGGGGCTGTTTTGCTGCTTCAGGCCCTGGAAGACTTGCTGTGATAAATGGAACCATGAATTCTGCTGAACATTTATCCAGTAATTTACTGCAACATTGTCTAGCTTAATCTAGAAACAACAGCAATAAAAACTTTTAAGACAACTACAGGCTGTGGGCAGAATGATGTTAAATCATGGTGTTTGCATGGCATTTCCTAGAGGTATGGTGGGGGTTAGGTGGGAGGCTAAAGAGGAAAAAAGCCAGCACATAAAGAAAGTGAGAACACTAAATGCAAAGGTGAATGACTGACATTACCCTAAATATCAAAATCCAATATTTAGTAAATGTGACTCAGACATTAGACAGCACAACGAGTGAGGAGACTGTGACAAACGGCTCTTTCTGTGGTAGAGTTGTCCCTAGCAATAAATGGCAGCAGAGTTCCTTCAATCACATATTTTTGGCTGGTAGGGGATTAATACATGCATGAGTTGCTATTTCTGGTGGAGGCTGTACTGAATTAGGGTCGCCTGGTTGCTGCTGCCTGTTTTTTATAGTGCGCCTTTTCTGGTTGGTGGAGCAGGGGAATTTACGTCTGTTGACGTTTTTTCCTGCCCTGCTGTGGATCTGCATTTTCATGAATGAAGCTCAAGAGGGATTGGGAGGGTTAGATGCTAGACAGACAGAGAAAACATTTGAGGGTAGGAGGGAAAGAAAAGAAAAATGGAGGAAAAAGCCAAACTAACAGACATTTGATGCACAAAAGACTGCAAAAATCTAGGGAAGGAAAAAAAAAACAGAAATGAGGAAAAGACTGAATGAAAATATAAAAAGAGTGGGGTAAAGGGGTAGTGGGAGGTATCGGAATGAAAATCATGAAGCTATTAATAACTGCATGTGTGTACATATTATAATCAACACTGAATTGAGGAATGCACAATTGTTCCTTAAAAGTGACCACTTTTGTTAGATTTGCTGTTATTAAGCAGTCCACAAAGAGTTAATGCTCTTTCAAAACCCCAACCCTTTCTAAAACTGATGAAATTTGATTGGCTTTGCGAGTTGCAGGGTGGAGCTATTTCTTAGAACATGCTGCAGTGACTACCTTAACAGCTGAGGAAGCAGTAAGGGAGTGACAAACACTGGATAAGATCAGGGCAGTTTGTCTGAAATCCACATAAACACTTTAGTCATTTAATTGTATATCCTATTTCAACTCCATCTAAATTTAGAATCTCTCACTAATTTGGCATAATAGTTATTACTGCACAACATGGATAAACCTGTACCTACGGAACATGTGTGTACGTGTGACCTGAAACAAAGATGGACAGGGTGGTTTTCAAGGATTCAAGTGTGAGTCAGAGCCTGAATAACTGAGGAGGATGCGCAAAGTTAAGATTTTATTAAGGAGATGAAACTGCAGCTACGCGTTCCCAATAACGGGAAAACAGTGATGCAGAGACAGTTAAATAATAATTTAAAAGTTTAATAATTCACAATGATTATATGTGTATGGTAATTCACTGTTAAGTCATTTAGCTTCTAAAAAGCTTGCATCTGTGTTGTATGAAAATGGGGTACATGCCTGGAAAATGAACTATTTTTATAAAGGTGCTGCCAAAAGATGGGCTATAAGTATTAAACAATTTATGTAGATACTGACATAATGTTTGTATTCTGTGTCAAACAAATTTAGGTATGATATTCTAGAGCCAAGTCCTCCATTGTTGAAAGTATTGATATATGAAGAGTATCTACAATTCTTAGATTAGTGAAGACTGCATATCACAGTTTTTTTTAAATCAATGAGGATTAATAGATATTATTCTATTAGTGGGAAAAAAGGTTTATTTTATTATACTCATTTATTTTTAGGGCTGTACCCGAGTAAAAATTTTGTCAGTCAACTGTTAGTCGGCTGTTCAGTGGGACTATTTTTTCTTTTTTTTCCTCTCTCTCTCTCTCTCTCTCTCACACACACACACACACACACACACACACACACACACACACACACACAGCATCAGAAAATCAACTGGCATGAATTTCACTGATGATGTAGACCATATTAGCACCAGTAGTCACATGCAAAAGAGTTATGGCAACATATTTCGAGTATTTATAAATCAGAGACAGTTAGAAATGATGCACAATTTAAATTGCAACCCATTTAAATAGACAATATATAATGTTAGGCTGTGGTATGGATTTGTCGGAAGAACAAGACAGGTAGCATACTTGTATTTTTGTTGAAACAGTGCTCCTATAGGCAATTTTTTTTTTTCTGAGACATGACTACAGTCTAGTTTATGAACAAGTTAAAGCTTCTCCTGTCTGTTAACCACAGTGCATGTTGTTACATTTGATGTGTGCCGGGTTGCACGGCTAAAGAATATATATTTGTGATTCCTCTGATTTATAATTCCTCATTGATGGATGGAAGCATGTCACAGAAACATGAGATAAACAGCTGTGTTACACAAATAGAACGCACATATTTACCAGGGACATTGTCGCAACTGTTACTTTTCTCTTGTAAAAGTAGACCATGATGCTTGAACACTTTTAATAAAGTACAAATCATTGGGAGATTGTCCATGTCAGATGCCTTCTCACCTGCTGGAAATACTCAGTTTTTTGTTTATATGAGGGGGAGCACCTGGGTAGAGCATGTAGGATGTGCGACATGACGCGGTCACGTAGTCAGTTTGTAATTTGGTCATAAACAACTGAGTCTCTTACCATACCTTAAATTTGTCTGATGATTCTGGCGCGAGTTGTTAACAAAAGTCCCCAAATCTCGTTATGTCTCCAGATATTTTCGTTGGTGTCTTCATTGGAAATGACCTTTTTCTTCACCATAAGATGCTTGAATTCTTCCGGTTTTGCACCGGTCACACAATAGAACGTCAACACGCCCTCTAACTCTGTGTGAATACTCCAGACTGTACACGTCTCTTTTCTCGCATGGGCTCACTCCAGTTCACTGGAACATTATGCAGACTTTGTACTGGGGAGCTGGCAGTTCACTTCAAATCCAGGTGGACTAACTTAGACATTTACGTTGTCACATACAGCTCAACTGGGTAAAGTTTAAATCATTTCAGTGTTCCAGTGCATGCTTCAAGGGGGCTTCAATCGACAGATGGGCCTCTCATCTAATGATTCAAATAGTTGACTTTCAGGGGGCAGACCTATTTATTTTATTGCATGTCAAACGCAGTATTATGTTGAATGAAAACAAAGTTTTAAAATTTAACTAGCACATGTGCAGGTGCTGACACTTCTGGATATCTGACCTTAGACCCACAAGCACAGTATAAGCGATCATGAGTGAATAACAATAAATGTCTAGATGAAGAGAAAAAACAAACAAAAAAAAACCAATAACTTGTTTGACCTGTAAAAATATAAAAATAGTGGGGTGAACAGACCATGCAGAAAGTAGGGCTTTTTATGTCAAACACTTTAAAACTAAATGCTCTGTCAGAGTTCATGTGTTATAATAGGCTATAGGGACATTTGATAGTAGTGATGACAAACTCCCTGGTACCTTTATATTTCATTTCTATTCAAAAAGCTTTGGTCATCTGGCAGAAGTATCTTCTTCAAAAGTTACATTTCCCACAATATGGTTCAATAAAATGTACACCGCCTGCAGTAAACATCATTACTGCCAATTTGAACTGCAATATTTCACAAAGGTTTTCACGTTACAGTTCCCCCCAATACTCCCCATTTGCAGTTTTCCCTCTATAAAACAGGTTGTGAGAATTCACATCAGTATATTATTTAGGTTTTGGCTGGGACAGAATGTCTGCAGCACAACTATAAATCTAATTATATTACATGTCTGATATTTATTGTGCATTTTACTACTCAAGTCCTTTTGGCAAACCTGCTAAAAACATGCTCAGCTAATAAAAAACAACATGGCTAAGTGAAAATTTAGGCTTGTGCAGAACAATTTCAAACGTATACGGCACATATAAAACAACTTTATGCTCTGTGTTCTGCTTCAGTAAAATCCAGCAGTGCCTCTTAAAGCGGGTTTGTGCAAGTGTGATGTGATGGATTGAGTGAAAGGTGCCAACGAAAGAGTAAATAAGTGAATGAGGGATAGGATGGATCAACAGGTATGCAGGGCAATACAGGGAGAGAAGAGAGCAGATTTACCTTTTGGTGAAGGAGCAGCTTTGCACAGTGATGTTCTGGTTGCGCGCCCCTCTGCACCTGAGAATTAAAGCATCATGTAAAGATTCAAAGGGAAGCAACATCAACTCATCATATTTACAACTACACATAAAGCAGCAAGAGAATCAAAACTCAACAATGTAATGTAAAAACAGTCTGAAAGCGACATTTGCTCATTTCTGCCAAGTTGTAGTGCATCATGTGTGATGGCTATTATTCAACTAAATACATCAAAACACAACATAGTTATTTTATAAACATTCGTTACCTCTCACCTAAAACTCTGCATGTGAGAGGGCCAAGTGACATTTTCTCCCTTACCGGGTTGACATAGATTCATTCACCGTGAAGCCTGTTTCTCTGTCTTTCATACATTCTGGGAGGGGAGGGATGAGACTGTTGCTTGAGCTTGATAGAGTTAATTGAAGGGGACAAATCTTTTATATGTAATTATTGGTGCACCCTGCCTCTTGATTAAATGACACATTCTTTATATATCTTCCAACCAATGCAAGATGATGAATACATGAGTTTTTCAACTTCAAGTAATTTATCATCCCAGTTGCTCTTTAATATTTAATCTGACATTTTCCAAAGCAATGTCTCCACTGTAAGCAATCACCCACTGTGGCAACATATGATGTTTTTGCCGTTAAAGCATTTTGTGGTCAGGGTTTCCCATGTAGCAAACTGTGCGGTTACATGAAAATAAACGTTAGTGCTGAAACAATTAGTAGACTCTATCAATCTGGAGAAAAGTAACCAATAACTTTACCTTTACATCAATGTATCAAGGAAAAATTATGAAGATTCCCTGTTTTTCTCTTTTGTTTAAATAACATCATATGTCAAATTCTTTAGACTGTTACTGAGACAAACCAGGCCATTTTAAGATACACCTTGGGTGCTGGGCCAATGTGATGGGCATTTTGCACTTTTTTGACATTTTATAGACTAAACAACTTATGGATTAACCTAAAAGCATAACTGACATAACTCATAATTATGTTAATAAGGTAAATATAATAATTATTATTATTTGCCCAACCAAAGCATTCAGAAATTTTGTAATTAAACCCAAAGAAGCCATTTAAATATCTGCTGCATAAACAAGAACAAGATGATGAAATAGATTGTTAAGAGTATGATGACTTACTGCAGGGGCTACTCTGGTGGTATAGCAATTGTGAGAAAGACAAGACAGGTGCCAACTCGCTGCCAAGCCCACTGTTTCCCGCCTCATTTCTCTCCCATGATTCCACTCCAGTCCCTTCACCTTTCAGCTGCTGCCCTACCCCTTTCTGGTCTGCCCAGACCACACCTCTCTCCCTCAGCAAAAGGTGCTCTATCTCATGGTTCTCCCTCTCATCCGTCACTGTGACCAGCCCGACAGCATGCAGTGCAGAGTAGTGCCGACTATAAGCTGGCAACAAGATGTTCACCATTCTGAAACGCAACAGAAAAACAATACTAAGATGTTTGTCCAGGAAAACACACAGATTAGAGAGAGGTGAAATGCAGTTTCTTCAGCTGCACCGAGTAACAGTCGACTTAGTTCAATGGGAACTTGTACTAGGCTTCGACAACTTACTTCTGAATACGCTTGTTCTCCTGATCCTGCAGTGCAGTGAGCTGGACCATCTGTTTGATGTGTTGTTTGAGATCCTTTACCTCTAGCTCCAGTCTGTGGCAATGTAGGTCCTTCTCTAACACCTGAACAAGAGGGAGCAATGAGGTCAGGGAGTAGAACATGATGAGGCAATATCTTCTAACATAACACCATACTAAATTAGCACTCTGGTGGGCAGAAGTAGAGGAAACAAAAGGAGGCTGGGGGTCGGGATACTAAAGATAACATGCAAAGTTCTGTTTTCATCCATGTTTCATCAGAAAAGCTGTCTGCTCAGGGAGAGGACAGGGAGACAGAAAGAACTCTGACGTAAAGACACTACGAAACAACAGCAGTGAGAACATTTGACCGGTGGGTGCATCATAGTTCTGGGTCAGTTCCTGGAAGAAAGGATAAAGGAGGGAAAAAAAATATGGGCATGGTTTAGGTAACTGGCTGCTGTGTGAGGGATGAGTAAAGGGTATTGATTTATTCTCTTCGGTGATCCACTAGCGAGCTGGAGAAATAAAATGAGCACAGTTCTAATTACTGGGAGAACAGATGGGAAGAAAACAAAGACAGTCACGACACCAGTAGAGAGACAGCCTACCTTCCAAAATAAACAAACAAAAAACACCAAGCAATGAGTTTCGAAGGACGTAATCCAAATTGCAAAGATTTTTCTGTATGTCTAATGTCTAGATGTTATCTACTTTGACTCTGTTTGGTTCTATTGATCTACTGTCCAAAGTCAAACAAGAATTAATGCACTCCATCACCAATGTTAGTGCAAAGTGTTGTTGGAATTTGTGTAAACACTGGTCAAATCATTAATGATTACAGCTGAATTTGACATGCAACTTTAACATGCAGTTGTTAAATCAAAAAAAAAAAAAAAAAAAAGATACTTTAAACTAAACCACGAAGCACTTTAAGAAGGAAATAAAAATGTACTTACCTTATTTATCTATGTACTTACCAGTCTGTCATAACAAAATAATTTTTTTTCTTACTGGTTTTTCAAAACCAGCAAGTGTAAAAGGATAAATGAGGTCTACTTACTTCTGAGGTCTGACCATTGGACTTCAGCAACTTAATCTCATTTTCGATACGATGAAGCAAGCCATCATTGTCCAGGAATCGAGTCTCTGCCTCTTGCAGACGTTTGCAAATGTGCTGCTGCTGAGTGCGTAAGCTGGCAACCTTCCGCTCATGCTTACAAGTGGCCTTTTGAAAGGAACAACAAAATGTCACTTATTAGGAACTGTCCACTGTTTAATGCTAGTATTACATACTATAATTTGCATATGTAGTCTACATAACAATAATTACAGCTGTAAGAACAATATGGCAACAGGGCTCCAGTCTGGAAATATGCAGGAGATGCATTCAAAGTCTTTAGCATTTGTTAAGACTTCATTGGATAAATCTCAAAATCTGAAACTAGCTTAAGATTGAGATTTTTTTAAATAAAGGTTTTAAATGTAGGCTAATTTAGCACCACTCTCAGGAAAATAGTTCCCCCAGTTTAGTGTTTTGGTTGACAATAGACCATTCTGCATATTTTGGTAACAAAAATTCAGTTTTTAAGTGGAATTTACAGATGGGGCCGACACTAGGACTCAAATGGCAGAGAGAAGCCAGGAAGTGGGGCGCACTGACCCTGTCCTGTAGTGGCGTAAATGAGAGACTAAGATGACTATAGAGAAGAGAGAAGTGAAATGATGAGTCAGCAGCTGTTTTTCTGCGGGGATGATGGAATCTGTGGATAGCAGCGTAAGCATCAGTTACCTTCTCAGTCTTTTCTTTGGCACAGAAACATTGGACTTGCAGGTTGTCCTCCTCACTGTAGCGCTGGCGCAGCTCATTCTCCTTCAGTTGTCTCTCCAGATCCAGCTGTTCTCTCCTGATTTGGGCCCGGTTCAGGAAAATTTGCTGCAGAGATTCAGACACCCTGGAGGGGGAGGGAGGCAGGGAGAGAGAGAGAGAGAGAGAGAGAGAGAGAGAGAGAGAGAGAAGTAATCTTCAAATATTACAAGTTTTATCTTAAAGGGGCTTCATTTAACAAAGGTGAATTAATACCAAACTTTCTGAAAAATACAAATTGATTAACTGCATAAAATCTTGAGAAGATTATTGCAATCCAAGCATTTTACAATTTAAAAGGGACAATTCAAACATTAAAAAAGGTCAATTTTCAGAATCTATACTTGTAATTATTATGGTTAAAATTTATGAAGTGGCCCTTTAAAATAGATAATTAAGTACACCTCTAATGCAATCTTTTTTTGTCATGTTGCCTCTGGTTCACCTCTGGTACAGGAGAGACAGAATATTAGAAACACCTCTTAGAATAATGCAATCCAATAAATCACCACCACAGGGATTCAAACCAGATGTGATTAGAAGCTGCTGTGCGACATGTAAGGAGCAAATTTAATTTGTTGCTGTGCTAAGAGCTCTTACAAACCACTACAGTATTTAACACATCTCTAGAAAGGTCATGAGGCATTTATCAGCACAATTAAACCAGTTTAAAAGACAGTAACACAACTAATAATGACAACACAAGAGTACACAAATTAATCACATTAATTTTTGGCAGGACTATTATTTACCACAATTAATTAAAAACTCCTTTAGATTTGAGTTTGTTTTTTTCTATCTCAAACTTACACAAGATGCCAGTTCTATGTGGACTGTGCCAGAATGATATTCTTAGCTATATGATGTATATATGTATTTCTGAAACAGAGTTGAGGTGTTATTCAGCTTGGGTGCAAGTGGCTGTGTTGAATTAAAGTAGGAGTGGCATGCAGGTAAAAAAAGACTGAAGAGCTGTTGCTAAAATGTGACTGTATTCTTTAATGTAACTCCAGTGACGTAGGAGATGTTGTGGCCTTGCTAGACTGCTGAATTTTTAATAGTGTGAGAAGTGTGCTGCCTCTATTCAGAGCCTCTCCCTGGGCGAGTTGTGAATTCTGATGCCAGTGAATGAAATGTGTGGGAGTGAGACTCATTCAGCTTTTCTGTCTTCCACCCTCAACCCAAATACCCCTGCAGATGCCACTGTATGGTAGGTGGGATGTGGTTGATCAGATACATCAATTAAACTAAAATGAAACACAACACAGAAGTCTCTATTAAAATGAAAAGTACACATTTAAATAAGACTATTAAGATCCTGTTGACTATAGCAATTTTATAAAACACTAGAGCATGTTCATACACAGAACGTTCTGTATATTTGGCAGATATACTGATATTAGGGAGACGGACAATAAAAATGGGGATGCTGTAAATTAATCAGAACCATATTGTCAAGTATATATAAAACAAGAATTTTACTCCAGCTCAGTGGCGCCTAATGTGCTTCTTTCAGTCAACCAAAAAAAGTGGAATAAAACAAAAGGTTAAATTAAAAATAAAACAAAACACAATCGATAAATATATGTACAATGTAAAGAAGGAGTTTTAAACTTATATGATAACACTGACTTTTTTAAAATGTAAAATAATGCTTTCTTCACCTTTTATTTGTGTGAATGTGCAATTAATTTCAGACACTGCGTTTATCAATATTTTAGTATCTGGCTGCTCAATGCAGATCCCCTGACTATAGTACAGGTCACAAGCAAATGTGAGGTAAAGGTGAAAGAGAAAACAAACAAACAGAGTATAACAACATTGGTGTGCTACAGAGCTGACAATTGTGCTGATGCAATTTTGCAATTTCAATTACAAAACAGTAACACAAAAGTATACAAACAGATAAAATGACTTATTTAAAAAAAAAAACAAAAAAAAACTGTTCTCTAACACTGAAATTCCTGTGAAGCAGTATTAGTTTCTTGGTGTGACTCATTTCCTTTTAAAAGAGAATGTTACAGTGGGACATCAGTCTTTAGTGTAAAGTAGCTATGAAGAGAAAGGTAGTTTGATTAAATAAAAAGATATATATGCTGAAAAATATCTGTGATGAGTTTTTGATAGTTGGAGTTTGTTCCTCCCACTAGTCCAGCATGAGGTCACCACTGAAGATGCAATGATTTCCAGGAAGTAACACTTTTCCAGGAGGTTCATGTGCACATTTCAGGGGATTGCATTTCAAGGGAGTAACACAAACAAGTCATGTAAAAGGTAAAAGATAAAAAAATAAATAAAGAAGAAAAGAAACCAAAGCAAACTAAGTGTACTGTGAGCTACTCTACACAAGATATGGATCAAAGCTTTTATTAACAATTTAGCAGCACTAGTACTGGATCACCAATTCTGGCACTTTGTTTCCAGTACGCTCTGGGTAGGTCAGCTGTCAAAACCTGCATTGTGTTGCTGTTGTGTGTGCGTGCACACTGACAAAACAGCTGCTTGCATTTTTAACTAATGATATCCACAATGATGGCATGCGTTACCATTCAAACATTGCAGAACTGTTTTGGGTAGAACTAAATAAGTAATAATTTAAAAAAAAGAGAGACGCTACATGCTTTGCTTTTACAAATGTATTCATACCCTTTTCTGTGCTTCTCCAAATTGCAGTCAGACATATTGCAAGGTTAATTAAAGCAAACGGGATATACCTATGATTTGACTTGTCCACCTATGGCAAACTGAACTGACAAGCTATAGAAAGATACACACAACTGGGTATATAAGCTCCTACAACTCACATTGCATAGTAGGACAAAAACCAAGCCATGAAGTCCAAGCAACTCTCTGTGGACTACCACAATAACACGGTGGTGAAGTGTAGATCGGGAAACACGTATAAAGCCCCTTTTCCACCACCTGGTACCGGCTCGGCTCTGCTCAGCTCTACTCGCTTTTGGTACTAGGTGTTAGACCCCCTGCAGTGTAGCTGGTTGTCGCAGTGACACCAAAACTGCCATTAAACTGCCCTGGCAGGGCAGACTCAAAGCAGTTATAATATTCATTCTACAACTATTATTATGGTCATCTAACAGAGCTTCAGCAGTCCACAGTCTGCGCAGACACACGAACCACATACTTAAAGACTTGATGAGCCGACACAATAAAGAATCACTGATAAAAGTTTATTTTGGAAAATGTATCGTACCACAGTGTTACTAAATAAATGGATAAAGACAAAATTTAAAATATAAAGTTGGCTTTTGGAATATCATTCTTGATTCTAGAACATGAGGATGCACTTCATTATTATAAATTATTGTTTGAAGCCCTAGAACCATAGGTTAAACCAAAGGTACCATTAAAGTTTCACCACGGTACAGTCTACATGCTCCTTCTGCCTGCTGTGACTCTCTCCCAATTACAATGCTTACAATTAAAAGGGGTTTTGACACACAATTACTGACATGTTTTAGGTTCCACTCCAAATCACAGCCATGTACATGCTTACCTTTTGAACTCTGCTTGTTTCAGGGAAGAGACTGGCACCATGTTCTTCTCCTCATATTCTTTTAGTTTCTGCTTCAATTGTACAATCTTTAGAAATGTAAAAGCACATCAAAATAAGAGTTAGAAATAAATGTTAAGTATGGAATTTTTCAGAAGATTTGAAATTTTAAGGATTTCTTTTAAACTCAGCATGTTAGTGTTGGTTGTTTTACGTTACCTCTTGCCGTTGCTTTTCACATATTACTGCATACTGACCAATATGACTGTCCAGGCTTACGACATTACTCTTCAGCTGAAAGGGTAGAAAGGAAGAGAAAGAGAAATGAATGATTTAACAGGAATTCATACATTTATAGTTCAAGAATCAGGGCAGTTATATTACAGTGAACAATCATAAAAAATATAACTTTAATACTAACCGAGGACTTAATCTCCTTGGCCCTGTTTGCATATTTAAGTGTGTTGTGAGTGTCATCATATGACTTGGATGAGGGGCTAACACTGGCAATCATAACAGTCCTGCAGTTGCCTCCCAGGGAGTCTTTAAGTAGCCGTGTCAGCTTGCTGTCCCTGTATGGTATGTGAGCTTTCTTACTCTGAAACAAATAACAAAGGTTAACATTAACTCAAGAAATAATACCATTTTGTATGTTCAGGTGGACCTGGAAGCAACTAAGAATAAAGAAAGTGCAAAACTCTTGGGATTCCATTGTATTTACGTGAAAATGACAAATCTAAAATAAAGCGTGAAAATAGAGGAATATATAGGAGTGCAAATATGGCATGTGCATTGCTATGCATTCTCCATCTGGACAAGCTCCACAAGAGAAGCGCAATCACCTCACATTATTTGATAGGGACCAGTAAACCTAATGTGGGACAAAATTCAGCGTGGAGAGTTCATTTTAAAGTTAACACAGAAACATCTATACACACCACTGGTCTGGAGTTTTCTGCAGCTGGTCTGTGATTGCAGATCAGTCTGTAATGATGGCATTAGATAAATTACAGCTGCTTAGGTGAGTCACAATCTCGTGGGCATTGGGATTGCAACACGTCACATTAAAATTTAGTTATAAAAGTTGTAAAATGATCTCTTTTGGGGTTTGCAGCTGAGACTACACTTCTCTCTGGAAAAACCCTAAGCCTACATCTGGATTCAAATACCTTAGTTATAGTTTATGTCAGGTCCAGGCAGTTTCACAATAGCTGTGCCAATTTGAAAAATCACCACTGTAATAAGGAAACACCCATATTTCCCTGAAATCAAATGTTCACTTTGGGCCAATCTGTCACAAATTGAGCGTAAAATGACCCCTGCAACTAACTTGCATGTGCATGGAAGCACTTGCACTAGTGTAAATGGGAGGTGTGAAGCATTCACCCAAAAAAAGAAAAAAAAAATTGTTACGATGTGATAAGTAGGGCTGGAATGTATCATCATTCCACTAATCTCTATCAAGAACCAGTAAACATTTCTGGGATACTCATACTCAGATCTTGTTTGCTTCACTCAGTGCTGCAGTTACAAATGTAATACATAACTAAATGGTAAATGAACTGTATTTATATAGCGCATTTTTCCACAGTGTGTTGCACTGGCCAAAGCGCTTTACAGGAGATGATACACCATTCACCCATTCACACACCAATGACGACATAATAATGAAACACACAGTTAAGCTTCAAATGGCCCATCATTGTAAAGAAGATACATGTTTTAGCCTTAGTCAAAGTCAGAGACAGCTAAGGATGCCACAGGGAACTGTGTATGAGAATATACAAGAATGAGGACCATGTGGTCAAGTTCTGTCACCTATTACTCTCTATAGGTTAATCACTTACACTGGTTTTGACTAGAGAATATCACACAATACAATATTCAGATGTTTGACGATGCAACATCAACACTGTCAAAAAGCTCAGTTTTCTCTCTCTACACCATTAAGCAAGACTGTCACTATCTTTTGTATCTACTCTTTACACCATTTGCAGGAAGCCTCATTTTTGTGGGTGGGAAACACTGGCCTTGTGTAGATGGAATGCCAAGATGGGAAGACAGGATACGTCGTAAAATGTATCTGCAGTCGTTTGGACACTGCCTAAGGCAAACAACTTACAACAAAAACCTCTGTCCAGCATAGCATGAAGATGACATAGTGAACCCAAGCAGACGTTCTTCTCACTCAAACGAAAGGCATGCCAGCCCAGACACAAGTGGGGACATTCTTTTCTGTAAACAATGGACACAACATGAATTCCTTGTCTGCCAACAGTAAAGACCGGAGGACCAACAACCATGGAGATAGGGTTGGGAAGGAGTGGGGATTAGCGGTGGTCGTTGTAGCCTCAAACTAATCCACAACTGCAACTCTGGTCAGGGTATACAACCAACTGGATAGTGTCCATTAAAGAACACAGTTTTAATTCAAGAAGGAAGTAACATGTTGAAGAAGGATCATGTTTCAGCATGGCTGTGGTATATATGCACAGCACTTCCTAAATGCATGTGGCCTGCTTGCTCCTCATCCCTTGAGACTGGTGTGTAAAATGAGACGACTGCTTGACAGGTTAATGTATGCAACTAGAATGAAATAATACCCAAATACTCAGTTGAGTCTCCACTTAGCAGGTTCTCCATTTCATATGGACGCTAGTGGTTAATTTAATGTCTTTACCTACAGTAATCTTAATATCATGATGCAAAATTATCATATGCACTTAGGATTTGCTAACCAGCTGACAAACATAAAACAACACTAAATGCAAAACATTTTACTGCTATCAGTTTTTTATGTGTAAAACTCAGTCACTTTATTTGTACACTGTTTGCAATGATGGCACTAGTGCTACCAAGCTTTTCAGATGGTGGCACCAGTGCCAGATTTGACAACATTTTGTTTTACAACATTATGCAAAGAATCTGTATATTTCACTAATCATTTTAAATAACCTTACCATCTAACGTGTATAGCCTACATTTATAATGAAATTTAGAGAGCGCAAGGGTAGTTTGTATGCTTTGTTGTTCTTTTGAAGAAGAATTTCTGCTCTTTGGTGTCTGTGTTGCACAGTTCAGCTCTCTCGTCGCCTGGCTAGTCCCAGCTCATTTTTATGCTAAGTTACTAGTGGCCTACTACTTAAGGAAGGATTTGATGGTGGGTTTCAGCCACTACTAACTTCAAACTGGGACTTCGCTAGATGTGATCTGTGCATATGTGAAACTTCAGTGTTTGATCCATTCAACTGACACCGACTCTGACCTCCATGCAGCTTCTT